CAGGCCAAAGGAAAAAGGTAGAGTTTAAGTCCTTTGAAATATGAAATGTCGAACCACATTTTTGCTGCCATGTTATTATTATTTTTTTAAAGAACATAATTGCATCACTTTGGAAAAGGACTGTGCAGGAAACAAACATAAAAATAAACATTTGCAAGGTTTGGGGTCTCATTTTGATTTAATGCCTAAAAGCAGACTGTGATGGTCCTTCCTTTATAGGTCCTGAATGACTGGAAAGATATCCACCACCACCACCTCCAGGCCCCCTCAACTCCCCAGTCATGATTTCAGACAGAAACATTCTTTCGAGACAGCAGGATAAGTGTATACTAATGTATTATTTCAGAACCTGAAATATTTTGTTATTCTAGTGAACTGAAAGCTTATGCATTTTCCCAAAGGGTTTCATTGATACAGATACGTTATAAATAAACCTCATGATACAGTAAATAGAGTATCATTTTTGTAGTTTCAAAAGTAGGCATAGTTTTGCTGGATTTCTTGGCTGCTATTCCTATATTGTTTGCTGATACATTATTTTCAAATAAAGATATTTCATATCCTAGCTTCAGCCCTGCATAAACATCACATTTCAAGATTCCTTTTGAAAAATATCTGAGGAGGAAGAAATCAGCAGGAGGAAAGAATAAAGGCAAGTTTAATACTCACTACTAAATTCAGTTAACTTGTATTCATTTAAATAAGGAAACATACTGTACATCACTGATTTAGTGTGAAACTGCCAACAGAGAAAGAATTCTGTGAGATGTAAAAATATTTAGAATGTTTATTAAAAATAATGGATGGACTATAAGCAGCTCAAGGGAACTGAGAGATCTCTCTGCTATGCAATTGCTCCTGCACAGAGCTCTGCATTGATTGTCTACAAGTCTTCTACTTGAAAGTGCCCGTCCAAGGACAAGGGTAGTGGGAAAAGCCAACCTCGAAGGAAAATGAATCTTGGTCCACAAGGAGAATTTTCCCAATGAGTACAGAGGGACAATTCAGGCTAGGTAATAAGAATGAGCCTTGAGAAAGAAGAATGATCTCACTGACCCTGCCAGGCTGCTCAGGAGGAAAATTCAACTGAAGAATCTCACGAGAGAAGAGGATCCTCATGAACGTGTGGTGACAATTTAAGTCAAAGGAGGACAAGAAAGTGCTATTATTGTCATTTGGGGAAACAGTTTAAATTCTTGCAAGAATCAAAATACCCACATATCAGGTCACTACAGAAAAAGTACAATCATTAAAACATGATATAGAGAAACAAATGAAGGTAGCTTTCCTTTTGTGTGAAGCCATGTGAAACACTTGTATTGAGGACCAGTCAGTGAGGGCCAGCCCATCTCCCTCCTCAGCTTCTTGCCTAAATTTTTAGAAGACAAATCTTTAGAGAATTTCTTTGCATTCATTTTCATGCCTAAATTATGCTCATGCAGCCATACAAAGTCTGAATTCTATGAAAATGTGTCACACTGAGAATTCTCTAGGATTACTGATGTGTAAGTTCCATGCAGCTTTCAGGAAAAGTCAATTAGAAGAAATATTAGCCTAAAGTTCTACAATTTGGAGTAATCAAAACAGATCTCATGAGACATCCGCTTAATTCATTCAGAATTAAAAGCAAGAAAAGACTCAAGTTCTCAACATAACTTATCTTTCAGTATCCTCAAATGTAGCAAATGAGCTGGGTTTTCATAATTACATTCTGAATGTATTCCTAGGAAGAAGAAAATGATTTCAAGTCTTGCAACTTCCAAAGCAGCAGCAATAACTTATTAATTGTACCCTTGGTGATCTTAAAGTGAGGCAGGAAAAACAGCCTTAGAGACTCCAAAGATGCATAAAATTCTCCCAGGGGGAGCAGTAGGGACACCAGGAGAATCTTGCTGCAGAAGTATTTCAAAAAAGCTATTTACATGTTGAAGGAAAGGGTTTAATTAATAGTGTTACAGCCGTGAAGTTCACATGCAGATCCAAGGTCCTGTCACAAGGGACTGTTACATACTTTTTAAACAAGTCACTCAGTCCTGCATTTTGCCCCTTTTACAGCTCTTGCATAGTAATGAATGTATGTCCCCAAGGTTTTTCAGAATGAGGATCATGATGTCTGTTAATTTCTTAATAATAATAAAGATGATGATGCGGATGGCAACGAGGAGAATCACTTTTTACTGAAACCTCACGATACGCCAGGATCCTTCTAAGTCCTTTGTATGAATGAGCTTTTTTAATTCTTTCAACAAACCAGTAAACTCAGTGCTGTGGTTTTCCTCATTTTGCAGAAAAGGAAACCGAGGCTCTAGTTAATTATGTAAGTGTAGATGCTGTCGGTTATCTACCCACAGTCATCCCCAACCTGCCCATAATGCACACATTCCTCAAAACTGTATATCCGTTTCCTTCAGGTTCTGGAAGGTCTGGGGAGAATAGGGACCCTCAAGACCACAGTAACAATGTATATGCAGAGCTGTGGGCAGCATCTGAAGGTTATGATCAAGAATTCCCATAGCAGGCTAGACGTATGACTGCTCAGGGCCAGGAGAATGTGCGCTATTAGTTAATAAGAATGGTTAAGTAATGCCCATCATTGGAGGAACACCCAAAGCCATAGAGATGTTATGGAAATTCATCTGGATCCAGTTTTTAGAGAAATATTCACTCTTTTAGAATGGACATTTTGGGTAAAACTCAAGATGGAGATAATCTTTTAATCTATCCAAGTGGGTAATTCCAAGAAATGCCTTCATGAACAAGCAGGGGATGGAGAGCTCTAGACAGTTAGTATATAAACTAGCACACGTGGACAAGAAATACTTTATGAAATGGAGGGCAACCTGGAAAAGTGGTAGAGGTGCTTGGGTTTATCAAGGGTCCTTAACTCTGCTCTAGTTTCCAGAACAGATTTCCTACAGATTGGAACTGAGGCTTAACTGGGGCTAGAGAGGGAGATGTTACCAGCAACTGAAACAGTAAATAAAAGGAGAACAACAGAAAATCTTTAGGATGGATGTTCCTTCTGGAGTCATCTATACTTTTAATGATCTAGAACACTTGGTTGACTGCTTAATGGCATTTGAATGGGTAATAAAATGAGTAACTGGGACTACTATACCATTTTTTTTTAACCCTGAGCCTAAAGCGATGAGGAAAAAAAAAAAACCTTGACATGTACATTGATATCAGAAAAACAGCTACAAGAAGCAGTACATAAAGGTCACCTTGGGCAGCGGAGGGAAATCAGCCTTGTGTGGAACAAATCACTGCTATTATTATTTTATTTTTGAAGAATTAAAAAAAATTATCACAGAATTGTTTTGAAGCTTACCTGAGTTATCATATTTGATGTGCTTAAAAAAATGCTAAACACGAAACAAGCACTAGTTATTGTCATCATTGGAAAATGGTCCGGTTTTTATATTCACAGAGACTTTTGGGGTTCAATGATTTGCCTAAAGGCCCATAGTTTATAAGTGTTAAAGACAATATTTGAATGAAAGGCTTTTGATTTGAAACTCAACCTTCTTTCAACACACTATGATGACAGTCCCATAAAACACATCTCCTCTGGTCTAATTTATTCCAAATCAATTAATAGGGAGGAAAATAAAAGATAATTTCCACCCAGTGAAATAAAAATATGATTGAAAATGACCATTCAAATCACAAGATACAAAATGCTATGGGTTGAAAAAATGCTATGCTTAACTTATTATTCACAATTATTTTATTCATAAAATTTGCATTTTAAAATTACTTAATAATCTGCATGTTACAGACAACAACTGGGCATTGATTTAAGTTTTTTTTTCTGTCTTAGAAATTAGTGGTGAAATGAGATTAATAGCACAAATATTAAAGGGAGGTACTGGTGCATTTGTATGGAACTCAGTATTAGAAATGTCATTTCTGGTTCCTGAATACATTTGCCAATGTGAGAAAATGATGACAAGTTCTAATTATTAAGTTATTATAGTGTAGAACAAGCAGTAACTACCTCCGGAGGCTCTGGAGAAAATCGTTCAGGGATTTTTACTGCTTGGCTGAATCAAAAATTCTTTGTTACAAGTGGAATTCAACAGAGCCTGACAATTCTAAAAGTCCTGTGCTGGCCAAGGCAACTTTTCTAAGACCTAAACCACAAATGCTAGCAGAAGACCATTATGTCACTTAAAGAAATTGGAGATCATCACACAACAATATAATAAGTTTGCACACATAGAATTGATAACAAGGAATCTGAACATTAGATTATAGCTTTCTTATACTTTTTGTAATTATACTGTCAAGTTCCTTCTCTACGATTTCAAGTGAGAACTATGCTGGTTTATGAGAAAAATATTTAAGAAACACAACTAGAAACTTAACCCAAGATGCTCTTCCATTTGGGTGGTAATCAAAAGATGGTTCTGTGACAGTGGTAATAAAAATTATGTGTATTGCCGACATGAGTGCTAGACAGACAGAAATAACATTTGTGTCAGTTGCATCAACACAACTGTTTTCTGATCAGAATTTCACAACAGGTATCACCACGCCGATGTACTTAGTTGTTACAAAGCGTATGTTCCACTGACACACAGTGAGGATTTCATTCTCTGTCAAACTTTTTTCTTCAGCGTTACTATTCAAGCAAAGATAGCAACTCAGTATTCATAATTGCTACATTTACATCTTAGTCAATCCCTCTTCCCGCTTTAAAAACAAGAATGTTCAAAACCATTTTTCACTTAATATCTGGGGCTGTGGTCATGGGGACATGAGGCCTTTTTAAACTGAACATGAGGACACACTGGAAGCTAAGTTCCACTACAGGTTAACAATCATAAAGCCATGGTTTTAGAGTTCCACTGTATTAAATGCTCCCAAGATCATTCTTTCCTGAATGGTATCCAAATTCTTTTTTTTTTAATTAGTGTTCCATTTGTAATGTTACCTGCCTTATTTCTTGGTGTTCTCTTCTTAAAATGTACTTTAAAAGCATGATAATAACTTACCTTAGAGAGCCCACCTACTTCCAAATAGAAGCAGATAATGAACACATTCCAGGTGACCCAGAGGGCAGTCCATACTGTATACTGGAGAGAAAGGGTGGGGGGAGAAAGAGAATAAAAATGTGCAGATGAAAGACATGTATGCTAAATAAATCAGTAATAAAACTGCCAATAAGTCTGTCTTCTGGGAAGAAACAGGGTGCGCTCAGAAAAGAGTGCTCCTTACGAGGTCCCCTAAGATCTCTAGAAATTAAATATCCAATAGTTTCTACTGCTTTCAGTAGATGCCAATAAAACTAGATTTATTTTTAAAGTGCTTTGCTGGCTTGCAGATGCACGTTAAATCCAAGTGCTGATTTGATTTCGCTTTTCTGAGTACTAGCTTTTCCGAGGAACACCATTATGCAAATTTCCTTTGGGCTATCTATTTATCTATCTATCCATCTTTTAGTTATAATATCAAACTATCAAGTTTTTAGGAATGTTAGTCAAAACTCTTCACTTCCATATCACTGAATGAGGATCATGTTTGAAAATGGATGTGTGGAGTAACATTAATAAACTTTCAACTGTTAAACTAATTTATTAAGAATGAAGTGTGTGCCTCTAATATTATTACAGAATATAATATGAGCACGTAAAATATTTTTTCAAAAGCATAGAAATTAATAAAGAGGATTAAGGATGAGCATGTAAACAACAGATTTCCATAATGGGAAAATACTTTCCAATCACATCCAACACACTCTCCACAGGCTAGCCGTACTGATGAATTGGTTTTATTAATGTATTATGTATTAGCAAATGCCTTCCTCAAGAGTATAGTCAGACTGAATTAAGATAGCCTTAGATCAAAACTCATCAATGGAGAGGGTCTCAGGGCTCAGTTCATCCCATCACTTTCTTCTGCAGACAAAGGCACGGAGGTCTGGAAACTGACATACAGAACAGCTTGGATGACTAGGGGTGGAATTTTCCATGGCAACCCAATGAACAGATCACATACAATGGTTTGCTCATCCACTTTCTTTTACTACAAAAATCTATGAATTCTTAACTTCTTAAATAGGCATACTAATTACATTATTGTTTTCTGTTGTTAACTAAGATAAATGTTGAAATAACATACTAGCTATTGCTAAATTAAGATAAATACTGAAATAATTTATTAGCTTATTCTATGCTGTGCCAAATAATAGACTTACGGATTTCAAACACTGTATAAAACAGCCATGTTCTTATTAGAAACCTTATCAGAAGCTCTTTAACTTTTTCTGAAATTCAATTTACATTTTGGATCTTTGTCATTTATGATTTTTAAAAAAGGAATAATACACTTGTAATAATGAGTTAAGGCTCTGAAATGACTGGAGATTTAGAGGAGTTGGAAAATACGTTGAAAAGTTAATGTAAGTTAAAATACATACTGAGGCTTTTGCTATTTGGGGATATTGTTGACCTGCTGATACAGCCTGTTAGCAAAGTCTTCTAGTGTGAATGGACCTGGACATTTTCTTAACAATGGGCCAAATGCATTGAAATGTATTTTTCTGAACCACAAAATGTTCCCATGAACTTTGAAAATAGCTAACCTACATCCTCAACGTATACTTTTTGCAAACAGATAAAGTCACAATAACCACAACAAATTTTAAAGATGTTGCTAATAAGACGGCACCCGGTATCTGATATTTTTCATTCTAAATAAATCTAATTATGGGGATATGTGAATGAGGCAGCAGTGCAGACCGCTAAGTCATGAGAAAAAAGCCAGTGGTAAAGGTTAAGGAAAGGACATCAAGTAAAGCAAGACTCAAAGAAGGAAATGAACTGAATTAACTGCAAAACCACATGATTATTAATTATTAGGACCGCGAACCTAAACCTGTAAGTATTCTTTTAGAAATATAAATCAACTCATAGTCATAAAAATACGTAATAAAATGTATCCCTTCAAAATAAAAGCACAAACTTAGTGATTGGACTGTATTCTGATCCCTCCCATTGTACCCTTGATGTTACTTCCGAACATTCAAAGATAAAATTGTCAGGCTGAGTAGACTCCAACCATCAGCTCCTAGATTCCTAACAATAACACGAGTCACTACTCTGCGGCTTTCCACACTCCAGGTCCTGTGTTAAGCACTTTACAAGGATCAAGTCCCTCAGTCACGCTAAAGCCGAGGTAGAGAGTTAGTCACTTGATCACCCAGTTAGTGTCAGAGCTGGGACAGGAACTCTGACAGTTTGACTCCAGAGCTGGGGTCCTTGGAGTCATATGATGAGCTTCACGTTCAAAGATCTTAGGAAAAGGACTACGATTAATTTGCAACATGACACTTCACCAAATTTTCCAACTTATCAAATGACCAATTCACCAAATTACCAGTTGACTCAAAATTTATTTCACTCATATGTATTCTATAACTGGCAATGCTTTTGGAATGATGAAGTCTTTTGTATTTGCTATTAATGTGTCATGCATTCTATAAATGTCATGGTTTTAAAGCAATGTTGTAAGTTTCTTTATTCTAACACATTGGTTCATTGAGAACAAAGAATATAGCAAATAGCAAATATCACTGAAATTTGGATTGTTATGAGATGTAAACTATACACCTCAGTGTGTACCTGAGACTCAAGTCTCTGCATAGAGATAAAAGGGAAGGATTTCTAGCAACACAAATAACACATCCATAGGAATTTACCTAGACAGAAAGTATTAGAACAGCATACGTTATGAGATGGGCTCTCCTCCCTGCCTTCTTTTTGATGTGAGTTAATTTATAGTTCAACTGAAACTAGACTATAAAGAAAAGGAGATAATACTTCATTTTTAAGAAATACCTTTTGGTCATCATAGAGCACTCCCACAAGCTCAGATAACCACATAGACTTACTCGCAGTATAGAAGACTTACCCTCCCGATGCAAAATAAAAAAATCACTCTGTACAGTTATCTATCCATCTATTTACCTCTCATCTATCCGTCTATAAGCTATCAATCTATTTATCTATCCTACTTTGCTTATGTTCAGTACACACATTTTAAATCCTAATTTACTGAGACAATGGCTATAAAGATGAGCAAACATTTGTGTGTTCTATGTGGCTTCCTGAACAGTTCATAGCTTTGTGAGGCTATTTGAGCAGTTTTTAATTGAAATGAACTTTAGAACTCTTACAGTCTATTTCTTTCTCATTCAGCAATTAGTCCATGACATGAATTATTTTTACTTTCTGAGCTTGTCTGTTTTTCAGTCGCCAGGAAGGCCATTCAATCATTCATTCATTCACATACAATCAATCAATCAGATACAATATTATGCACAATATGTTAGACATAAAAAAGGGTAGACTCCTCGCTCACTCATGGTTCTAATATTTTCTGGAGTTTTGTATTCACATCCAGGGGGATTTAAATCTGGGACCACTGAATGGAAGCCTGACACTCTTAATAGCCACGCTGCGCAGTGGCTCGGGGGGGAGACGTATGATGACACAGCGGAAAACGTTCCTGTGAAACAATTCAAAGGAAAGCAAGTTGCTGCTCTTTGCATGTGAACATTCGTATGAAAGTCCAAATAACTAACCTGTGCACTTAGCATATACTTACTTGGCTTTAAAAATTTTTTTAAAGGAGGTTTTGAGTTAATTTTTATTTCAAAGTTAGTCTTTACTCCAAAAAATGTCAAGTTAGCTAATGCTTCTGCATTTAAATTAATGTAAAACTGCTTGATTAAATTAACTTACTACCCATGAAATAATAAATATTTAAATAATTCTAGGACAGAATCTTACTCTGGACTTCATAAGTAAGATTTTAAAATATTTGACATAGGAGTAAAATAAATGGGAGTAACCAGCTGATTCCAGAGCAGTACTTTATGACTGTTCAATATGATTTCCAGCCCACACTCTGCTTCATTTTGTCTACAGCCAAAGAAACACAAAAGGTGCATTCAAACGTTATGATTAAACTTGGTGTTCCCTAATGAATGTATCCCGCCTTGTATCTTAGTTAAAGTAAATTTAAACAGTGAAAGAGTACCATATAACAAGGTTGTTTTTGTGTTCTAAAAATAAATGTAGAAATAGCAAATCTGTACCTTATCAGCTGAGACAGTGTCCAAAGGGGAATTATTGCTCTTTCATTTTGTGATTTGGGTGAATTTTTCTAATAGTCTTTGCAATGGGTCCTCCTAAATTACAGAGGCAGGAGCTCACAACGTTATGTTTATTAGAAAAAAAAATCAGTTGAGGAGTAAGTCAGCTAAGGGTAGGTGTAGGCAGAGCAGGTGTACTAAAATCCACGATGCATTTCATCCTGTAAATCCCAGAGTTCAGATGGAGATAAACAAGGCTGGAAGACCAGTTTACTTTGCTTAACTGTTGTTGACAAGTTCTGAGATAAGAAATCACTGTCCAGTCCATTCTGTAAGATAGTTTCATCTATGAACCTTTAATTCATTTATTATTTGTTCAATCAAGTATTAAGCACCTTTAAAGGCCCATGCATAACAGGATAACTTAGAATCCAGCCCTGGCTGGGCAGCGTCTGCCTTCCAGGAGGACACTGTTGAGTGAAGCCAGGTGGGACTGGAGGCCACGATGGCAGCTGTGGGGAGAGGCAGGATGGAGTCTCCAAGAACCAAGGGAGCAGAGAGGAAGAGGCACTGCTCCCGGAGCAGGCTGGTCAGGCAAGGCTCTGAAAGGTGACCGATTCAGTTGAAGAATTATTAAGGGTTTTCCAAGCAGGTAAGGAGACTAGGGTGTTGCAGGTAGAAGGTGCAGTGTGTGCAAACCAAGGCGGCAAGAAGCAGCATGTGGTCTTTGGAAAACACAAATCACTCAGCATGGCTGGCTGGCGTGAGGCAGGCAGGTGGGGAGGGTGGGAGGTGCAGGTGGGAGAGGTAAGTACAGGAGCAGGTTCTGTAAGCTTTGATTTCCACTCTGAGGAGATGGACGTTGGAGAGCTTGTTCTGTGTGGTCCTCTACCTGAACCGTTCTCATAAGGGTGATTGGTTCTTCAAAGTCAGCTGTGATAAACCCTGTTTGTCCTAAGAATTGGTGGTAACTTACCATCTGTGTTTTGATGCTCCAAAATATCTGTTAGCTTGAAATGGATTATATTTAATTGGCGTTATTGGTGACTTTCAGTCAATAATGGAAGCCAAGACTAAGAACACCAACCAGGCCAGTTGGGGAGAAAAATCTGCAACCAAAAAGCCCTCTTCCTGCTCAGTGAAAAGTCAGTATGGATTTCTGACCCCGGTCTCCTCTCACTGCCATAGAAAAGCTGCTGCCTTGGAGGTATCCCTTGATTAATGTCATCCACGCCATACTCATTTCCAGGCATTTTCATATCAGAATTAATTCCAGGCCATCAACTGTGGCTTCAAACCAAAACATTCATGAAAACAACTCAGGGATGGGCCATTTGTGGTGTGATAAAGATAATATCCAACAGCAATACCAAAAGTTCCGATATCATAATTTATACAGACAAAGGAACCACATCATCGGGAATCTGATGGTGGAAGCAAAGCCGAGCTGGTGATAAAGTAACTCCACAAACCTAATAGTATCATCCACTTCTGCCACTTACTGTCTAGGTTCCCTGGGCAAGTCACTTAACCTCTCCTTAACTCTTGCCTTGTCTGTAAAATGAGAGATGCTAACACACACCCACAGGACATTTGTGAAGATTAAACAAAAGGATGTGTTTGGCATGGACAATTCATTGCTTCCCTTCTCTCCCTTTCCTGGGAGACGGTCTTGAATGAGACAGCAAATAAAATGATGGCGATTTGGTTGGTATATGCATCAAGAGACAGTCAAGATGAGCAAACATGTGGATTGTTTGTCTTGTAGACATCTTTCTTTGAAGATTCTGAAAGACCTAAATCTGCCTCCCTCGATACACAGGAGGGAGAGGGGAGAGGAGGATGTGAGGAAAAGATACCAGAGAAAGAATGACACTGGTCCTATCATAAGCAGTCCAGGGACCGGCAGGGAACTAGACAAGAAAGACAATGAGTAAGTATTTATTGAGGACCTATTACATTCCATGCGCTCAAAGAACACTTTGTCTAGTAGGGGAGACATAAATGTGAACAAATTATAAAGCATGTCCAGGACACAGAGGCAAAGGGGCAGGCAGTGATTAACTGCTAAAGGGCATGGAAGGGGGTGAGTATGAGGGACTGAGGGCACGTAGCTAGAGGAGGGGACAACGCCAGCTGAGGCTGCGAGAGCCACAGACTGGAGAAGCAGGTGGAGAGGAGGGTCCTCGATGCTGAAGTACACAAACCTTCTTCACAAACCTCTTTCCCTGTCGTTTCATCACCTCCGGAGAGCCCAGCAACCTGCACCTCCTCACTCCTTACACGGTGAGTTCCCGGAAAGCAGGCAATATACCTTCTTTGCTGTTTATCCAGCCCTGGCACAGAAGAGCAGGTCCTCAGTGAGTGCTCAGCGAGGGAATGCCAACTACTGACATCCCACTGGGGGCCTGCCGTGCTTCCTGCCTGGAACCCCCTTCGGTCCCCTGTACCCTGGGGAGCTCACACTCATGCTGCAGGTCTCAGCCCCCCAGTCACTCCTGCAGGGTCAGGTTACACATCTCGTGGCACAATGTGCTCTTTTTTGACACTTGCTACAGGTACAGTGTAACGTCTGTGCGGATGATTATATGATAAAACATGCTTGTCCTCACCAGACTGTAAGGCAAGGACTGAGAAGGGCAGGAAATAACGTGTCTGTATTTGCTCAGCAGTGTGCCCCACGTGGAACACAATGCCAGGTACAGAGTAGAAACCCAATAAATAGGGTTTGAATGAATAAGTTTAAAAAATGGAAGAAAGGAAGTGGAGAAAAAAAGAAATAAGGGAAGAAGGGAGAAAGGAAGAGGAGTAGAAAGGAAGGAAGGAAAGCAGGAAGGAGGGACTGTAGAGACTCAAGTTTGGTCAGGGGGTCAGCCAAGAATATTCTTAGATTTTCATCCTGCTAAGAGTTAGTGAAGGTTTTAAGCCAGTGATTTAGAAAATGTACGAAGGACATGCTGGACGGGAGGAAGCTGAAAGCAAGCCAGCAGTCCGTGCACAGGGAGACTGCAGAGGGCAGGAGATGAGTGAAGAGGGTCCAGAGCTAACATGCAGAGGGAAGAAGCATCAGGACTGAATACGTCCCAACAGCATCATCCCGTGGACGCCATCGGTGTCCTAGCCTTCCGGCATTTTGTGTTTCAGTACAACAGCAACATCATAAAATAAAAGGCTGCAGGAAGTAAAAGTGCTCTGTGTTCATAGCAACAAACGGGAACATAAAACCCGGTAATAGTTTGCTATTATGCA